AGGGGGTAAAAAGCGTTTGGCAAAAGCTTTTTCAATTTTTGGTCATTTTTTTCACAAGGAGAAAAATTATGATTCTAAAAACAAGTGAGGGCAAATTTTTTTCTGAAAATTTTACACATAAAGTTAAAGGTAACAAACCTACATTAAAAATGGAACATCAATCTGAAAGTCAATTTCCAGTCCCGCATGTTCAAAAAAAAACATTTTTCAAACAAGAAGGCCCAAGAATGGCCCCTGGATGCTCACCTGACCAAATCACACTCATTCAGAGCAAATTACTTAGGCCCAACATACCAAACCAAAAGATTGATGACAATTAGTCAAAATTTACCAAATTAGAGTTAAAAAAGGTTTTTTTAATATTTTGGCATTGTGACCAAAGTGTTTTTGAACCCCAGGTGACCAATTTTTGGGAACTTGACCTAGAAATCACCCAAAAACAAACTTGCAGCCCAATTTTTCCCTGGATAAAACAACAACAAAAAGCCACTAGAAAGTTAACAAGTTTTTTTTTCCTATTTTTAGTCCTGGGGCCCTAGTTTTTTTTTCAAAATGACCCCTGACATTTTTTGGGATATATTGGGGCAAAAATGTAAATGCTAAAAATTTTGGGGAGGGACGACAGTTTGAGGATTTAAAACGATATTTAAAGCTCCCCGCAAGCTCAGGTAAATTTAAAAGTAGTTTTATGAAACAAACATGAAGCCTTTTAAATATTTTTTAATTATAGCCTTTTTTTAATTTTACAACAGAAAAATAAAAAAATTTTAAAGATGATTTCTTTTAAAAATACTAAAAAAACCAAATCTTAGAATATGGGGATAAAGAAAACATTTTCCCTGCTTCAAAAAGGGAAAATTTGTAAATAAGTTTTTAATAAAATAAAAATTTTAAAACAAAAGGGACAAATTTTTGAAAAATTTATGATTTTATATTGAATTTAAATAAACAAGTGATGTGACATATATATAAGTTTGAATCAATGAATCTCCCAAATATATCCAACCTAACTCAAAGCATGTATTTTATGATTGAAATCAACAGGGTTTGCTTTTTTCCATGTGACAAGAAAACATTGGTTTTTTTTATTCATAGTTAGTTCACACTAAAAACAGGGCTGTCTTTGTGATAAGGTCTATATAAGAGCAATGTTTGAAAAATAAACTGAGCCCTATAGATAACTGATTACTGTAATTCATTGACAACTCCTTTTGTGTTCTTTATAGCTTGAGCGCCATCGGAAACTTTTCCCACAACTAGGGCATACAAACATCCCTTCAGCATGAATCTGTTTATGTTGTTTGAGATACCTCTTTGTCTTGAACGATTTATCACACTTATCACATTTGTGTGAAGCTGCCTCACTTTCATTTTTATTTTTAGAACATATCTTTGACACATGATAGTTCAGATTTTTCTTGTAACTAAAGCGTTTCTGACATTTTTCACATTTAAATGGTTTCGCCTCTCCATGAACGGCTGCCATGTGTGACCCAGAAGATGTCTCTGTTAACTGTAAACTTTACCACATTGTTCACAATTATGATGGCGCTTTTATTTAAATGCATCGTGTCCATGTGGCGCTTGAGGGTATACTGGGTTTGGAAAAATTTTCACAATTGTGGCACAAATGCTCATAGCGCTGTGTACTGTCTATGTGTTTGTCCAATCTGTCCTTTGTTATTGTATGACTTAATCACACACGTTGACATCTAACTGGTGATCCACATCTGTGACGTGAGTCATTAGATGATTTTTTAAGCTTTTCGATGTACTAAAGCAATTTTTCCACATATAAAACAACTATTGTCATCAGTTCTTGAACTGAAATGTAAACATGTATATTTTAATAAGAGACTCTTCCCAACATGTATTAACATTTTATAAGAAACAAGGACTAAGAGTTAAATGAAAGTGTCAATGTGACCCTTGACCTTTTATGACTAATAAACTAGGGTCATCTACAGGCCGTTGGAAATGTTTCCAATTTTAAAGAAAATATCCTTTCCGCTATATAATCAGACCAATTATTATTGATAGAATTATATGTTCATGTGCATAAACCACAACTTTTTCTTATTTTCCATTTTTACTTTCTTGAGTAAAGAATGATTCTTATATTTAATAACTATAATAGGAAACAACGTGAATGTATTAAATAACTATATCATAGTAAAATTACATCATTTTTGATATACTGGAATGGTATACATAAGGATTAACATATACAAAACTGGATGTTTTATCAATAATTACTATAAAGTCTGATTTTTGAATTAATCCAAAGCAACAGACTCTGTATTTCTTTGCAAGTGCATATCAAGGTGACAATTGAATTTGCAGCAACATATACCTCCTATAACTTTCTCAATATTAAGAAATTTATTATTTTGTTTTGAACATCATGCACAATTTAATATATAAGTTCTGATCTGCGTGCACAATGTTATTTTTAAAATTCAAATATACAACGGATATTTGAAGAAAAAAATACTCTTACCTGATTTCAATTTCTTCAGTTTTAATTCCGTATTGTACCGGTATCTTTTTACTTTGTTTAAAAACATTTTGTACCGCTTTAAGATCGACCCCCTGCAAATGGCGAAGGAAAATGGATAGGTAAAGGAGTTTCTATAAACAATCACAGTGGGGATATATCCAGAGATTATTCTTAAAATGAATTCCTGTGATTTTCTCTTAGACAATTTTTTTTGGAACAGTTCCATACAAAAGAAGAAGAAATTGTTATCCATGTATGTGTAACATACATATTTGTAAGAAAACAAGGAGTTGATCATTCAACTAGTTTATTTTTTCAATGAAAAATGTCAATTATTAACCACGTGTATTCCATATATTCTCACAAATTTTCAATCTTGAGTGGTTTACTTGAGTGGTATCCATTTGGCATCACTGCTAAGTATTAAATACTTTTTTGGTGAATTTAATTTAGTTTTAATCAAATTCCTTTGATAATTTTCAAGTTATTCTCAGAACAAGCATTGTCAAGTATTATAAAGGGAGATAATTAAAAAAAACTAAGCAACATACAGTTATGGTTCTTTGACACTGCATTTCCTAGAAATTTGTGCACTTTCAATGAGCTTCATTGATAATTTAGAAAGTTATAATCTGGACAAGCATTTTAAGTTAAGGGAAGAATGATTAAAAATTAAAGTAAGGTAGAGTTAATCACTGGATGTGAAGTTTAAATCAAATTTCCCTTCAATATAAGTGTACATTTAAAGCTATTATCCAACAAAAGTGTGACCAAAAATGTTTTCCACCTGAGTTTGACCTTATTGGTATTTTTTCTTTGTAATTTTATTCCTACTTTGGGTAGTTTGATCTTCTACAAGAAACCCGATATTCATCTTTAGAATGTCACTTAATCTGTATGGACAAGATGGGAGTGCCTTACATTTGAGTACTTAGGTGGCTACAGGAACAATAAAGCAATAACTGTGCATTTTATGAAATTCATTCTGTAAGCAAATTATGGGCTATGTTACTCTTATGTGGCTATAAGAACAACAATAAAGTATCCATCTTAGTAGGTATCCAATTGTTAGTCAGAAGGACAGACAATGGTGGCAACTATTTGCTCTCCCTATGGTAAGCATAAAAAGTCACTTCAATGGTTGAAAGATGACAAGGTAAAGAATCAAATCAATTTGTTCTTACATAATCTTTTTATTCTTTCTAAACTACAACTTGATTTGTTGTTTTCCTCCTTTTCTTTTAATTGCATATCTGTATTAAAGTTTAGTTTTTGTTTAATCATTTAGGTGTTCTTTGTAATCTTTTAATTTAGTTTTGCTGCGACTTCTCGAGATTCCTTGAGGATCACATGGAAAGGCTTACAGCATACCGCAAATTTTGAGGGCTTCTCCTGCTGATTACTGTATTTTCATATGTTATGGTATTCATACATGTGAACTCTCCCACTTTTAGCGGGAGACTCCCACTTTCTGCAGCCATATTTTCAAAGATTTTACTTAGAATAAGGGGTATTTTCACAAATTAAAGAAATCTCCCTCTTTTTGATGTCAGAACTTTCTTCTTTGTTTATTGCAAATTTTAAAATCTACCTCTTTTGAAGAAAAGTCTCATGCTTGATCATGAAAAAAGTTAACATGTATGTGTAATTTGGTTTATATACATGTATCCATCAAAATTTTTGTAATGTCTATCGCACTCAAGCCTACTATTCATCATGAAAGGCAATCAATAGCAAAATCAATATAAACCGAAAATCAAATCAAATCAAATCGAGAGATAGCTGAATCGTTGCACCCCTATAAAAAGTCTAATCTCTTCTTGTCCAAAAGTAAGTCTTACTTTCTAACTGGACAAGACTTTCCCTTTCAGGACACTCTCAAAAGTTTTAATATAGACATATATGTCGTATATACGCAAAATTAAAACTGTCACATAGAATTTATTTCAACTTGTCATATCTGGCAAGAACATATTCACAGAAAAATTTTAACGAAAAAAAATTGGTGATCACCTTTTTCCGTTTTTTTTTAAAGTTATCTGCCCCTGAACTGGACTTTTTTGCTTAATTCAAGGGCAGATAATTCATAACAAAAGTAAACAATTACTTAATTTTTCTTATTTTCGAGTAGCTCACTTCCTTTAGAGTCAATGTGCAACTACCAAGAAAACCTTTTTTTCTTAACTTCTGACAGTCATTTTTTTTTAAAAAATGACCTATTCTTAAAGAACTTTCCATTATTCAAAATGAAAAAAATATGGAATTGCATGTTATTAAATATTAGGATTAACAATAAAAGAAAAAGATAACCCAGAAGTTAAAACAGGATTGTATAGACATATGTATAAGTAATCTGCCATTAAAATGATCTATTTTTAACAAACAAATAATTCTGATTCAAGGGCAGATAACTCCAAATTGAGATTGGTGGCACTTTTTTTTCCAGATTAAATACAATATAATATAATATAATAATTCTGTTGTCATATTCTAACAATAAGTTCTAAGAAATACTATTGAACAGTTTTTATCCTGCCTATATGTTGAAAACTTCCGAAAATGTCCTTAAACTCAATATCAACCAAGGTCAAATGAAGATTAGCACTTACTTTGCCTTTGGACTTGGTAGATCCTTTCAGTGAAGCAGAGCCCATTGAATCACCTGCTGACAACTGATTTTCTGTGTTAACACTTGTATTTCCTAATGCTCCATCATTACTGTAATCCATATCTGTAGACTCATCATTAATATCATCACCGTCATCATGAAAGTTATCATCTCCACCATCGTAAAAACTATTATTATCATTGCACATCACATTATCACTAGAATTAGCACAAATTCCATCATATCTGCTTTCTGCTTGAATAACATTTTCTTGCAAATCATCACCATCCTGTTCTATTTTTATAGTAAAATGTTTCCCATCTTCTCCAAGCACAGTGATAGGTGTTAAATTGCTACTTGAGCTAAGTGGTTTATCTACAACTTCTGTCTTAGAACTTACAGATTCACTACTTTTTGGCACAGTCACAGTTGATTGAGGCAACAAAACTTTAGGTTGTTTAACATTTGTTGCTGTTGCTAGTGGTGATTCTGTTTTTCTTTTACCTTTATTTCTTGTTTGTGGTGAATCTGTTTTTGGGATTGATTCTGGTTCCTTTACAACAAATCTTGACGACTGTTTGTTTTGATCAGCAACAGTATCGTCAGCAGCAGCTATATCTTTCAGTGGAACTACTGGTGTAGTAACACTTGGTCCAACTTTGTCTGTTGTAACTGATAAATCTGTCAAAGTTGATAAAAAAATCTTTAAAACTTTTTAAATACAGGCAGATCTAAATTTACCTTGTAACAAGTATAACTGATATTTTGAATTTGCACGAAATCTGCCTTACGTTTTTAGTAAATTCTTTTTTGAGAAATGTTTTTTATAAATTCTATAAAAAGGTAAAATTTTGTTTCTCCAATTATCTTTATGAATATTGTATGTAAACAGAATTAAATGTCACTGTCAGAACAAAAAAAAAATTATGCTACTATTTTAAGCAGTGTTTCATTTCAATGAAAACAGCCATTTTTCACAAAATGCTCATGGGGTAATGGGTTAATGAAAAAAATAAAAAATTCTAGAAAACAAATTTTTTTCCTCAAAACTACATGTAAGGCTATGTTTTAACATGGAAAACGCGATTTTTGGGTAATTTCAGGTATTTTCATAATTTTCTGTTCACCCATTACCAGATATATACGCCTTTCTACGCCTTTTTCACCCCCCCCCTTTTAGTCGCCTCAAATGGTGAAAAAATGCCTTATTTAAGCCCCCAACACTTGTTTTTGTTTGAGAAATGTTGTTTAAAAAAGTGACCACTTTTTTGGCGCGGCCCCCCAGCCAAATGATACATCAGGGGGTTGCCAGAAGGGGGATGTGCCCCCTTCTGTTTGGGGGGTTTGAAGGGGGGCGGCAGTCCCCCTCATCGCCAAGAAAATTTTGGACTTTTGAGAGGCTATAAATGACCCCAGGTCGATCATAATGTAACGTGAAACCAACGCTGAAAAGCATTTGACTCTATCTCAATCCCTTGAGAAGTTGCAGCACTTTGAAATCAATTTTGATGGAAAAAATCAACACAAAATAGTGATTTTTGGCAATTTTGAGATGTCCCCTCGTTGCCATGGTGGCTAGAAATTTAAGCCTGAGCATGTTGTTACAAAGGCAATGGTCCAGTCAACATTTGTGCCAAGTTTGATTAGCATTGAAGCAGTTTTTATAGTTTTATAGCAATTTGAACTTGTAACGGGAGCCTTTTCAATGAAAACAGCCATTTTTCACAAAATGCTCATGGGGTAATGGGTTAACCTTACCTGTGGGAAACCCAACAGGGCATTTTTTGCCAAAATTGTGAAGGGGCCAGGGCCTGTTCATTTTGTGAAAAAAGCGCGACATGTCATAAAATTGTGAAAAAAATGACATAATAAAATTTGCAATTTAATGAAATTTTGAAACCGGAAATGATGATTGAAGCTTGATAATAATTTCTGTAAAATCTGCTTTGAGCTGGTACTTTAATCTGTAAAATCTGCTTTGAGCTGGTACTTTAATCTAGTAAACATGCACAAATACCATATATCTTGATTAAAATTATTTACATGTTTGCAATAGGGAAAAATCAAGTTTTACCAGAAGGTAAACAATGAAATTTGAAGACAAAGTCCCAAAATTTTATGAAATCTCTTTTGAAATGTGAATTTTTTCCCGCCGCTTTGTGAAATAAAAGTGCAATTTTGAATTGTGAAGGGGCCTGTTATCGGCCCCCGTTATAGAAGGTAAAAATGCCCTGCCCAAAGTGACTGGCCTTTGCCCAGGCCAACCAGCACATCCCTGAAGACTGACAAGGCTCTATACCCTTCAGTCTACATAAAGCTCAATTTTTGTGCAATGATATTGAAATCCCTCAAGCTTTGAATGGACTGTTCCAAATTCAAAGAACAACAAATCCATTACAAAAACTCAGTAGATTAAGGTTTAACTCTTTAACATGCTGACAAATGTATGCCAACATGGCCTGACAGCTGGCCTCTGACAACTTTTAACATAGTGATACAGTTATCAGTTACTGTTATCCCCTTACCTAACAGAAAATGATTTTAATTCAATACAGGACAAGTTCAATGAAATTATCAAATAACAAAAAATTAATTATTTTTGTCTTTATGGTAAAATTGTGTTACTATTGAATTTTATTATTACAATGTACATGTACCTGGTTTACAAAATGTCCATCCCTGATCCACAAAGAAGTTTTTGAGAGCCGACTCCTGCTCTAAGGTCACATACAACATCATCAAGTAAGACTCCATTGTCACATTGAGGTAAGTTTTTCGGGAATTATCCTAATTTCTGACCATATATGTTTCTCTGGAACTGTCAGAAGGAGAAAAAAATTATCAAAAGTTGAACTTAAAATTCTTTTCTTCAATATTTTGGTTTACCAACATTATAGGGTTTGGAAAAACAAGCAATTATCATAGTATTGCAAGCAATCCATAAGTCCCCTACCGGTTAGAACCCCATCAACATTCTGAAGGGCCATTGGCCATTCACTAATGTTTCAATTTTCTCTATTTTAAGTAAACTTGTTGGAAAAGTTCTTTAAAAGTGATCACAGGAAACAGTTTTTATGAACAGACAGACAGACGGACTGAAGGACACTCTAAAGTTAATATTTGAAACATCCCTGTTACCAAAATATAACATTTTAAAAGAAAAATTCTTAAAGAGGAGATAACTCTTGAATTAAAGATGCAATTTCATAAAAAAATTTCAGCTATTTTTGACTAATCACAAATATTGTTATATTTGCCATGTTTTAAGCCTATTTGTTGCCAAGGCAACTGATATTTTTTCAAAATAGGAAGAACAGATAAGACATGCATAATCTCAAGACTGCTATCTACCCATATGTCAAGTTTCATAAAAATATTTCCAGTACTTTTTGCTTTATCACTGGATCCAGTTTAAGTGTAAAATTTGCCATAATTTCAGCCTATTTGTTGCCATAGCAACCAGAATTCTCAACATAGGAAGAAAATAAAAAGACGTGCATAATCTCAAGACTGCCATCTACCCATATGTCAAGTTTCATAAAAATATTTCCAGTACTTTTTGCTTTATCACTGGATCCAGTTTATGAGTAAAATTTGCCATATTTTCAGCCTATTTGTTGCCATAGCAACCAGAATTTTCAACATAGGAAGAAAAGGAATGGATGTGCATAATCCCAAGACTGCCATCTACCCATATGTCAAGTTTCATAAAAATATTTCCATTACTTTTTGCGTTATCACTGGATCCAGTTTGTGTGTAAAATTTGCAATATTTTCAGCCTATTTGTTGCCATAGCAACCAGAATTTTCAACATAGGAAGAAAAAAAAAGACGTGCATAATCTCCATACTGCCATCTATACATATACCAAGTTTCATAAAAATATTTTCAGTACTTTTCAAGTTATCGCAGGATCCAGTTTTGTGGACGGACGGACTGACAGACAGACGGAAGGACAGACGGACGGAGGGTAAACCTAAAGTCCCCTCCGGTAAACCGGTAGGGGACTAAAAAGGATTACAAACTGTAAGTGTCTTAAGAGTCTGATTGAGATTTAAATGTTAGATGAAATGCAATACAGTGTTCAGTTTTAAGTCATAGATTGGAAATGATATAATTAAGCAGGCATCATATTCCCACAAAGACAACTTCAACACAAAGATTTCTATTTTTGGGGAGGCTATGCCGACCCAATGTTAATAACTGTCTGTCAAATCTTACTGCCGCGGTAATCAGGTCAAAAAATAGTACCTTGATTTTTTCTAAGCTGACTCATCACTCATCACAGACATTTACAATATGAAAATATTTTCATTCTTTAATTTCATATCTGCAATTTGTAAAGATAATAATTCTCTGAAAAATTCTTGATTTTTGTTTAAATCACTACTCCGTGACGTCATACTGCCGCGGTAATCAGGTCAAAAAATAGTACCTTGATTTTTTCTAAGCTGACTCATCACTCATCAGACATTTAAAATATGAAAATATTTTCATTCTTTAATTTCATATCTGCAATTTGTAAAGATAATAATTCTCTGAAAAATTCTTGATTTTTGTTTAAATCACTACTCCGTGACGTCATACTGCCGCGGTAATCAGGTTTAGGCATACGTACGTCTGTAATAAATAGTTCTGGTATGAAAACCCTTCAAATAATAACTTTATCCATATTTTTTTAACAAAAAGCATAAATGAAAATTTATAAGTAAATGCTTTAATTCAGTGGCAAATATTCTTTATTATTTTTGATAACAATTTTCCAATTACTACGCAGCGACCAACTGTTTATGACGGGTCATTAACTAGAACGTTGCAACTACGTATTCTCAATATCATGGATGTTCTTTTGTTATTATAAACTATTAATAGTCCTTAATATTTTTTAAAGACAAATAATTGTAAACTGTCGCTTACATCAGAGACATGGATCATGCTTGCGTGATAACTAAGGAAAACTAACTTATTTGTACACCCCAGGAGGCTGTACGCGGAAAACGCTCATAAACCGCTAAATCATATAGCTGTTTAGTAAATATTTTGCATACATTTAACTAAAAATTCACTGATGGTGATGAACATATAGTTTAAAAACATTATATTCTTTAACCATTATCGCCGAAAAAAACTATTTAACTACAAAACCCCTAAGGACCTCCGACAAAATTTCAGCACAATATTACATTAGCAAAATAAAAAAAAGCAATACTTATATTTTCATCTTACATAATTCATTAATCAAACTTTTAACATTAAAGTATCTTTGGTAATTGACAGATCCCTACTCTGATCTTTTATTTGTATAGGAATAAATTTAAACATGTGCTCTTTTGTTTAGGAATATTTTGTAGTGAAAGTCTTATATATTCACTAATCTCATAATTAGAATTAGACAGGTCAGGAATTTATACAAACAGTTGTTTAGTTTACTATGCTCATTTTAATCCAAATAGAAACATTCAAATATTTGTGGTAAAAAACATGACCAAAGTACCTAGTAGTCGTTTACCCGGTGGTGATCCCATTAAACTGATTATAGATTCGAATTGATTAGAAAACACAAATAGAAACATGTGTTTCCGTACAACAAAATCGGAAGTAAAGTGAACAGTTAATTGACAGAAATATGTGGTCAAATATGTTTTAACAAGGAAATAATTATTTCAGAGAAAGACGCAAAGATCAGTATGACCCCGTATTGTGTAATTAGAAAGTTTATTCAATTCTAGGGCATACATCATAATTTGATAGTCCATTTGTAATAAAATTCAAATTTTCAATACAGATTATGAGATACATAAAAAATATTAAAGAATAAGAAGCTTTAATAAAAAAACAAAAACAAAAAAAAAAACAAAAAAAAAACCGCATACATATACAAATTACTTACAGTCGAGCATCGGGAAGTCATTAACATATCTTACGAAACTTTAATTTGAAACCGATATTTGCTCCCGCTGAAGTGATAAATGTTTATTTGAAATTTGAAAAATAAAAAGAAAGAACTTTTATGGTTGTGTTCTAAAATAATGGGCGGCATAAGAGGAATTTCTTATTCATTTTACAACACTTGAAAAATTACTACAGAAAATGTGTTGTTGTTTTGTTTTCAACAAAAGTGTGTGTGTTTTAAGTTTATTTATACTCGGCGCCGGAATAACCATATGTCCGAGATTATAGCATCTGGGACGTCTTTTTCAAGCAGATTCTTCCTGGAAGCCCATTCTTCGTTCTTTGGTGGTAAAGGAGACGACAATACCGTCAAGGCATCAACTTTCTGACTGACGACAACAAAAACGGCATCTATTAGCGCCAAACCTCCAGAGTAAGTCACGACAGGTCAACCAATCACCTCTGGTACTTATGATGACTTGACTATGACCTTCCGTGTGCCTTCTCCGCGACGTGCACGCCTCTGGAGGTATTTGGAGAAGTTTCAACAAAAACTTCCAAAACACGCCATTTATAACACCATTCATAGCACTGACGGCTTCGATGTTCTCATCTATTTGCGGGAAATGGTCGACAGGGAAAACCCTACGTAATAACGCACACCCTGTTAACAACAGATTTTCCGCAGTATATATTTCAAGCTAGTGAGGTTTAAAAATACACGTAGAATCTATCGATTAACTACCATAAGTTGGTTGAGTGTTGAGTGTTGGCGGTAAAAAAAGAAGATATAACTTCCTGATCAATTTTCACTTAGGTTGATTCAGTTTTGAATAAGCTTTGCAGAGATGTATTTTTTCAAGAAATATTTAGCTTTAATATTATCCGACGCCGTCAGTAATGAAATGGGATTAATTTTCTGAAACGTGATTTTATTCGAGATTTGCTTCTGAAGAAGACAACCTTCTGTCCGTAGAGCATGAATGTTAATACTCATCACAAGACAGTATCTTATTGATCTCAATTAATGTACATCTAAACGTGTATAATTTTTATGTTCAATAAAAATGTTGCATCACTTGCAGTTGTTATTATCATTCAATAATATTAAAATGACATAAAATATTTATGATGAACAGTCCTAGAATATTTTGATAAGGAACCGTCAGTTGTAAAATGTTATTGTTATCTGATAATGAACAGTCGTCATACTTGCTGGTATGTCATTTATTATTGACAGTTTAGGTTTTTCAAAATTTGCATGATTAACAGTCCGAATTTAGACCTTAATTAAATGTTCTGGAATATTAACAAAATGAATAGTCAACTTCATTAACCATATATATGAATGGTTGAACACAACAGTAAGGATAAATAGCGCAATGTGCATATCTTTTTATTTTGGTAGCATATTTTAAGCAAAAAGAAAAGAAACTATAAGTCTGAAACATTCTCTCATAGCCTCCCCATCAGTACATTCAGTGCTTTGATTATATTTCAGATTTTTTATTTTGACCCTTAAGTGTGTCCTTGACCTTTACCCAAGACACCTCAATTATCGCGCAACACTCTAGCTCACTATGGAGAAAATTTGTCCAAAACTATATTTAATCCCTCCGATTATGTGGTTCCCAAACTTAAAAGCGCTGCGCATTTTGCACACGGCAAAGCTGGGGCCACATTATCGGATGGCTTCGGTCATAGCCGACTGGCACGTTTGAATTTATCGAAAGATAATGTCATTGAAGGAAAACGGCGATAATCTTGATATTTATTTCGGCTGTTGCGTTGTTTATATTACCGTTGAAGTTAAAAATTGACCACCATCGTGAAGAATTATATCTTCTGTGACGATGGACAAAAGGATTATGTGAAAATATTGGAAATGGAATAAAATACATGTTGATTATGACGGTAGGGGTGCGG